GTATTTTTTTTTTCATCATCACCATCGTGTAGAGCATCTCTTTATTAGCTACAATCCAAAAATTTTAAAAAATATACTGAGTAGTTTTCAAAATATGATTTTTTGAAGTTAAGGTTTGCAAATCATACAACACACCATTTCGGAGAAATGCATGTTAATCTTACTTAAAATTCCATTTTTATAAAAGTATTTGTTTTAAGACTACTTCTTTTGCTTGAAAATGATCAATTCCACCTTCTTTGTTCTAATTAGAATAAACAAAAACTGTTTGTTTACTTAAAACAAAGAGTACCTGCGTACTAATTAAAGCAAATAAAGAGTTTCTGTGTTCTAAAAATGACCACTGATCACTGAGCAAAGAGGATCTAGAAGTTTAAGGCACCAGTCTTAAATATAAGAGCAAATCTTTTTCAAATCAAATCAATTTCCATTCAGATTCCGACTTGTTCACTTTGTTCTAGCTTTCTAAACTTTTTTTTGAAAATGTTTTCAGCAAATGCTTTCTCATCACTTTAGGGTGATGTTAAATGAAATAAGTCATCTGATTTATTTTAATGGTACATTTTACGATCAAGCTTGTAGGTAGTAGTCGTTGTGATAACAGTTGCATATGAAGCAAAATAAATTAGGTGACTTATTGCATTCAACATTACTCGAAAGTGAAGAGAAATCATTTGCTGAGAACATTAAAAAAAAGGTCAGAAAGCTAGAACAAAGTGAACAAGTCGAAATTTGAATGGAAAGCGATTTGATTTGAAAAAGATTTGCCTTAAAATTAAGGCTAGTGCCTTAAACTTCTAGATCCTCTTTGCTGAGTGATCAGTGCTCATTTTTAGAAGAAACTCTTTATTTGCTTTAATTAGTACGCAAGTACACTTTGTTTGTTTTAAGTAAACAAACAGTTTTTGTTTATTCTAATTAGAACAAAGAAGGTGCAATTGATCATTTTCAAGCAAAAGAAGAGTCTTAAAACAAATACTTTTATTAAAATACAATTTTAAGTAATATTAACATTTCTTTTATATGGCGCAATGTTTGATTAGCAAACTTTAACTTCAAAAAATCATATCTTGAAAACTGCTTGGTACATTATTTAAAAAATTTGAATTGCAACTAATAAAGAGATGCTCTACACGATAGTAACGATGAAAAAAATTTACTAGTAGGGTTTTTCTTAAATTATTTCGAATTACTTCAAACTTCTTCAAACATTGTTAGAAGAAAAGTTCGTCAATATTAAATTTTAAATTGCATATCATTCATTCAGTTTTTATTTGAAGGAAATCGGCCTAATAGCTATTGAGTAATAATTTTTTAAAGTTAAAGTATTTTAAATTAATTTAAATTGGAAAAAAATTATTTAGTTCAAAGTGTGTGGACTTTTTGATTTTTTTTGCGCATTTGATTTGTCTAACCGAGACGAACAAAATGATATTTAATTTGTCAAGTTGTCACGACATGACTTTTTTTTGTCGCCCTGTGTATTCATTCGTTGATTGAAAATTACAGTAATTATTAACACTCATTTAGCACTTGTTTAAACTAATTAAAATTTTACTTGACATACTTAATAGATGTGTTTTAGTAAAAAAATATTTTTTAGCGGAATACGAGGTGGGTATTCCGGTAGCGGGCAGTCCGTGCAGTTTCCTGGTGAAGGGCGGAGTGAAGCCTTCGGGAGTGATTTTGTCGCCTACTTATCCAGGCGCCTACCCCAAGGCTCTTTTTTGTAGCTATCAGTTCCTCGGAGTGCCTGGTCAGCGGATCCGTTTGGAATTCCGAGATTTCGATCTCTTCTTCGGGGGTCCTCAGTAAGTCACTTTTACGGTCCCTAATACCTTTTTAACCAGTTTTTTTGCAGTTGTCCGTTCGATTACGTAAAGGTGTACGACGGTCAGGACAACAGTTCGGCTGTAATAGGCACTTACTGCGGTCAGCAGCGCAATCTCGTCATCTACTCGTCCGAGTCTTCTCTTCTAGTTACGTTCGTCACCCTCCCACGCACTGCCAATACTCAGAATAGAGGCTTTAAGGGCATCTTTGAGTTTTCAAACTCTTTTACCAAATTAGGTTTGTATAAAATAAAGAAACGACGGAATTTTCACCTACTTTGCGGGCTAGTTTACCATGAAAAATGAGCATGAAATAATGATCCGCTTCCAAATCTCCGTATGATATTCAAATCTAGAGACCCGGAATTTACATTTAAATCCGGCAAATTTTTCTACTTCGCGAACCCTAATCCAATACAATATAGATGACAGTCGTAACTGCGTTATTATGCCACTTTACGCATTTTGATCGCTTCTTTATGTATGATGATACTAAATTAGTTCAAGTTGAGTTAAAACGTTGCTTCTTTTTTCAGACTTTATAAGTAAGAACGACGGTGAACATATACGAGGCACCGAGTGCGACCAGAAAATTTTGAGCAAAAAGGAATCCAGCGGGTTCGTGTTCAGTCCTAACTACCCGTTTCCATACATGCCCAAACTGGTCTGTCGTTACTTCATCTACGGCATGCAGGATTCACAACATCTGGAACGAGTCAGACTCGAGTTCGTGATGTTCGAAATACCGAAAGGACCTAAAGGAGAGTAAGTGAGACGCGGTTTTACACAGATCGATCTGCACGAAACAATAACTGCCTCCCAATTTTTTCGATATAGGAATTTAGATGATACGATATTGGAAGAGAAGCACAATTTGAATTTGTAAATCTATGGAACATTTTTAGGAAAATGGAAAAGCTGTGATGATATTACATGAAAATTAATTATTTAATAACAGAAAAAAATTAGTCAGCTATTTAAAAATTGTGATTTTAAATATTATCGATTTCAACACTGTATTTTATTTTTTATTTTGTTCTATTTACTGTCCGTTGCGTAAAAAGCAATCTTGTCAACTTTTATATAAATGTTTAATTTTTTTAATTTAAAGATTTAACACATTTATTATTGAGTGCGAATAAGTACAATAAAATTATTACCTGTGTAGTTTATAAAATTATTAAAGTTTTTTTTTGTTTGGTTGTTTGTTTTCTTTACTGTTTGTATTTTTTACTTTTGAGTAATATAAAACAAATACAATTACTTTATTATCCCGGCGCATCCACCAAAAATATTTTTAAAGTTTTAGAATTTGCTGCCACAAAAAAATAACATTAAATATGAAAATTGAATATTAAATAAGTATCTTTTAGCAACAGAGTTTTTTAAACCTACACATAAAATAATTTTATTTAGATGTTTATACGAGTAGGTTTAATATAGGTACACTGTCGTTGAAAAATGCTTATTTAAGTACAACATTATCGACTCACCCAATGAAAACTATAGTAACTCATAATAACATTAGCCAACAAGCATTTTATGACTGAGAAGAAAACAGTTATTTTTTTGTTCAATTCTATGTGCAAAACTCAAAAATGATAAAGAAAATTCCATAGCACATCAAATTTTAAAGTTAGGCATTTTAAGATATCATATGTAAGTATGTTCGACAAAATCGCCGAAAAATGAAACACTTAAAATTCATTTTCTCCATTATCATTTAAAGTTTTTTCCCCCAAATTTGGGTGCCGTTAGTAACGAGCAAAGGGAAAGGTTCCACCAGGATATATTGGCGATGGAAAAGAGGTACCAAGGAAGATGGGATCCTGCTATGATGGGGGATACTGCTGGTTTCTAATAAGGAAAGTTAAAACACCCTACAAACGAAAGTTTGCTTTTGCAAAAAAACTCATCTACAACATATTTATTTATAATAGAATCTTATACATCTTTCAACATTGTTCTTGTTTAGTGAATAAATTAATTTCTTTCGATAAAATTTGAGAAAACTATTTTCCTGTAACTTAAAATCTGTACGTGATGGAGAATTTTTCTTATCAAATTCGTAATTAGGGACGTTAATGTACCTTGATACACGTGTCAATAAATCAATCACATTAAAAAAAAAATTGTTGGGTAGTGTAATTGGTTGTTGAGTTACGGCTTATGTAGGGCCCAAAATACAAAAATAATGACAAAAATTTTCTTTAAATAAACAATTATTTACCAAAATTTAGACCCTTAGCAATTTTTAATAATATTAAACAGTTCCTTGATTTTTTATTAACTATCAAAAATTCAATGCAATTTTTCTCAAAACTGTAATTTTTGAGTTACTATAGTTTTCGGTGGGAGAGTCGAATTTGTAATTTGCTGAATTTAAAATTTGGGTAACTAATAAATTTTCCAACTAATGAAATCGGAAAATCTAGGATTTACAAAGGTTGTGTTTTCGAATTATGTAGTTATTAACCAGTATTAAAAAAAATGACTTGCTTTTGCTTTTAATTTATTATCAGTTTTTATTTCTAATTTTTTTGCCACAGATACTGAATCGTTTTGTTATAGATAATCTTTATTAAAAATTATTCCAGAAATATAAAGTCATTATTAAGTGGGTTTATTTAATTGATTTATTAGTGATAGAAATAAACTATCAATTAAATTCTTTACACTTTTATTTTTGTATAAACTCATTATTGATATATCTATATAATCAACCTGCTGAATTAAAAAAAAACTACAAAAATAGGACTTTTAGTCACTATAAATTGTGTTTCTTTTCTTACAAAAACAATTTTTATTTGTTGAGTTCTGTTGTTAAAATAAGCTTTTATCACTGCAATGTTACAAATACTCCAAATATCTGATAATTGCCCAAACATTATGCATATGCTCAGTCTGGCAAACCATTCCCGGTGGTCTGAAAATCCGTCGGTTAATTGTCGGTTTATCGTTTGTTAAACTCGAGCCCCAGGTGTTCGCGAAGCTAGTTCGCTTTCCGAGTAATGTACGCTGATAATGGTGTGCCACTTCAACTATGCCAACATTGATTTCTTACTGGCGAGACACCGAGTTACGAGCTGCTCTCCTCCGATATTGCGATACGCTTTCAAGAGGAATGCGCTCGGATATCTGGTTTAATATTTAATATCGCACACACTAGGCTTCATATCTCATCATACTTTCCCATATCATAAACTTTTACATTTGAAAATCTACAACACATCCGACTTTGAGCAAGATCCGTTAACACATTAAAACCTCACAGGATACATTAAGGTGCTGTTGGAACTATCATAAATCCAATCAGAACCTTTATTGATTTTTTTGGCTTTTAGAAACTCGACGAATTGTTGCAAAATAGTCGTAACTGCTTTAACTGCCAAACGTAAAAAACCACAGGTGATTAAGGAAAAATATTGGGCAGAAGCTTTCTTAATGGCCACGTTTGATTAATGGACGCTCCTAAATAACATCCACTTTAGTTACCACTTGCTTTTCTAGATATTACGTGGTTTTCACCACTCAATTTGGGATTTGGGAGCGATTTATTGGCTTCTTTCTGTACAGTTATCACACCGCCGCAAGGCCTTATTCACGTCCAATTCTATTTCTTTTTCTCATCTAAATAAAATAAAGTTGTAGTGTCACAAATATTTTACTGTTGCAGCTGCTCAGACGGTTATCTAAAAATCTACCTAAAAGGTCAAGAGACGACAGATTCGTACGACAAATTTGATTATGAAATGTGCGGCGACGTGAGCAAACCTTCACTGGTGGTATCTGATGGTCCTCGACTTGTTATGGTTTTCAGTAGTGGGGAACTCATGGGTCGAGGCTTTAAAGCAAACTACACTTTTGAGACTGGTACTTTTTTGTTTTGCTCATTTTTTTAAATGTTGATTTAATTTTTAAAAATAGAATATCGAATTCCTGGAACGGCTGCCCCCGATGGCAGCTGCACGTTTACATACCGCAGCGTTAGCAAGAAGAAGGGTGAATTCAACTCGCCCCGATACCCCTCCAATTACCCCAGTGACACCAACTGTACCTATTCGTTTTTGGGTACCAATAACGAACAGGTGACTCTAGTTTTTGATAATTTCAAAGTTCGTGCCGACTCTGCGAATTCTACGACTGGCTCCTATGGGTAAAAAAACTCGTCAAATTCAGTGCTACCAACACAAAATTCGATTTTTAGAGCATACGTATGCCAAGAAGACTGGTTAGAAGTGTACAACATTTACCGAGACGGCACGGAGAAAATCGTAGGACGGTACTGCGGAATGACTGCTCCAGGTCCCATAGAGTCAAACCGCGGTGCCATGGGTCTGAAGATAATTCTGCATGCGGATTCGGAAGGCGTTTACAGTGGATTTAAAGCGCGGTATAGTTTTGAAACGGCGAAATCTATATTCGGAGATTGTGGGGGAAATGTGAGTAATTTGGATTCGGGGGTCATCACGAGTCCCAAGTTTCCTGGAGATTACGACGGCCCTACGAAGGGCTTATCGTCGAAAAGCTGCAATTGGTATGTCAGCGTCAGGCCCGGGTACAAAATTATGCTCAATTTCGAGAGGTTTGCCGTCGAAGGAGACCCCGTAGGTAAGCATAATAATTAGAATCACTTTTGTAACAAAATTTAACTATTAAAAGTAAACAAAATATAAAATTTATCACCAATGAATCACTTTTAATGCAAGTTGCTAATAACTATTTGAAAAAATAAGACAAAGTATTTGCAAGTAGTTAACATTGAGGTCGACTGCACTGCCAAAGTATGCAAGACAAATCTTCCCATTATCTTTTAAATATAGCATGGTATTTTCATGAAAAAAAATATTGGCATTAAATTGAAAAAACACAATTAGGTCATATGTAGTTGTTTTATCTGATTGTAAAATGTTTAAAATATGGAACTTGGCTAGACTTTGGGCCTATTCTGCCAAAATTAAAAATATTCAATACAATCTTTAGAATTTACTTTGACTAGGTACAACATACAGGATGTTCGGTCCAAGTCGCCGCGGCCGATAACACCTACTCTTACTTTTTTTTTTAAAACTAAATTTTTAAATAATACTACTCATTCCTCGTTTTCTTAGTAAATGCATCAAATTTTTTTGGCACATCCGGTGTAGCCGGAAATGCTACCTAATTCAGTTTTTCAAATGGAACACCTATGTTTTTTTGCTCGAAACAATAATAATTGGCATGAAGAAAAATACGGTAAACCACTATTTATTACATTTTACTTTACATAATGCACTCAGAAAACAATTAAAATTTTTGAATTTTATTGCAAATTTTGCAACATGGGCGGATTTTACCTACTTGTCAAGGTATTCATGCAAAAAGCAATATACTTGGATACCGTTTAATTATTGACAAAGCCTAATTTGTTGAGATCTTTAATAATGGATGATATTAATTACATACGACGAATTGGTAGATCATCAGCTTGAAGTGTTTTTCAGTGCAATAAAAATAGAGCGGAAGCTAAAAGACAGTATAGAGAAAAATATTCAAATAGAGTTTACCCAAATCGTTGGAAATTTAGTCGAATTGAAAAACAACTGAGACGAATAGGTTCGCTTCTTAAAAATAAAAAACCTGTGGTTCTTTGTGAAGAACAAGAATATAGAAATCTGAATGTTCTGTTATCAGTCGAAGAAAATCCAAGAGTTTCCATAAGAGAACTCGCTCTTCAACTGACAAATTAAATTTGTCAAACCAACAATTAAACTGTATCCAAGCATTTTTTTATTCACACCTTTCCTTTAAAATTGAAAATCAGGCTACGCGACCAATTTCCTTATAAAATTCTAAGATTTAAGATGTTTTTTGATTGGATTGTGTCACGCAAAATGTAATAAATAGTGGTTTACAGTATTTTTCAGGTCAATTATTATTTTTTGGAGGAAAAAAAGCATAGGTGTTCTATTTGAAAAACTAAATTTGGTAGCATTTCCGGCAACACCGGATGTGCTAAAAAAATTTAATACGTTTATTAAGAAAGAATAAATATTAATATTTAAATATTTACTTTTTGAAAAAAAGAAGTAAGTTTAGGTGTTATCAGCCTTGGACCGAACACTCTGTATACAAAAACGAAGTTGTATTTGTTTCAAAAGTTGTACAAATCTTAAGCTTGTTTTTATTATTTTTTAGTAAATGTTTTTTAACTCTCTTATTTTCGTTAATTCAGGCTGAAATAGTAAAGTTACAAATGCAAACTTTCTATTTCTTAAGTTTCTTGAAATTATTGCACATTGCAGAAAAAAATCTAATTTTGCTGACCGTGGCATTAGTAAAATTTGACAATTTCCGTCAAAACACGGAAACCAATTAGGTAATGCACTAAAGCTTTTTAAAGTTACGACTGCTGGTATAAACTATTCATATTGGTCGATGCAAAGGACGCGAAGTTGTTTGAGTTTGCTGTTAATAGTAAATGGGGAAGTTTGTTAAATTACGAGAGCTACGTTTGACGTTATTAGTTGCCGTCTTTACTAGTTCAAACAGTAATCTCAAGTGTTCAGCTCCATAAAAGACCACTTAAAAGACAAGTTGGAGAAGTGTTGCGGGGTTCAGCCAAATAGACTTTGTACTTGATAACCTCTTTATTCGTGCCGATGCTGACGACACACAAAAATCAAACGTGGTCTTAAATACCGAGAAAAATTGTTAGGAAAGTGTTCGCTTCTAGGGCGAGGATGTCCTGCAGCCGTTTTAAGACTTTGGACGGATTTATCAACTGCGCCCATTGAACTCTGCGGCGAGAAATCACCGGGAGATAAATGGCAATACCTTTCCACCTCAAATGCAGTTCGATTTAGGTACAGTTTTGCCATTTCTCTTCTTCAACTTTCATCCGTGTTTTGTAGTTTTGTAACGGCAGACAAGGCTGTAGGAGCACAGGGTTTTAAGATCGTTTGGACGGAGGTTCAAGAAGGACCGAGTTGTGAAGAGTTTCAATGTAAGAAAAGCGATTTCTGCATTCCGGACAAACTGAGGTGCAACATGGTCAACAACTGCGGAGCTGATGATAATTCTGATGAAGCCGACTGTGAGTGACGCAATGGTTACTATAATAATATGGTATCTTATTCCAAATTTGCATTATAAGCAAACAATTTTTCAGTAAAATCTATCCTACATGTCTATAGTAACACACCTATTCAGCATTTCTTTTGTTTTTTTTTCCGTTTGAGTTGCAAGAGGTCTCAACTTTAGACATATGTGACCTCAGTAGTGGTATTTGAATAGGTTTATTGCTGAGGACTGATACTGCATGGTTATTTTATGTTGAAAAATCAGGGTTGTGTTATAGGGAGTTCATTTCCTCTTTATTGTGTTGCTGTAAAATGTCTACACATCACAAAACACTTTTGGTTGCTTGGGGTGGACTAATTAGACAATTGAGATAACTAAAACATTAGTACAATAACAACCATTGACAAATCTGTTGGTAACAAACAGAAAAAAAATCCGAACATATAATAAGTAAAATTTAATAATTTTTTAAACAATGTCTAATTGTGTCCTGGCCGTTTTTCACTAAAGACTTTCATATTTATGTGACAGTACGAGTAGAATCAATAAATCTAATTATGTAGTAATATTAAATTAATGGGTTAGTTGCACATAATGATACTTCTTATTCTTACCATAATAACAGAAGCACATTTTATGTTTTTATTATGAGCAACCAATCTAATGTTAAAATCGGAGAACACGTGTCGTACTTGTATGTAATATAAATTTTAAAAAAATTTGAATTTACAAATATCTCAGCTGAACTTTAATAAACACACACCAAGACATTTTCATTGATTTATTTTGTAGTCTTATGACATAGGATTTTATAAAGTTTCTGTCAATCAATACCAAACTTTATTTACATAAAACTATAGCACTTTTGTCGACATTTTTGCAAAATTATATTTTGTATACAATAGTTATTTGTGTAACAAGGCTGCAAAATGTGCAAATGAATAAAAAGCGCATTCCTTTTGCAACAAACTTCGGAACAAGCTTCGGAATATTTTCTCTTGATTTTCTTATCAAGACATTTGACTTTAATTCAATTAAAAATCATGTCAAATTAGTGAAAATTGTATAGGTAGATTTTTATTTTTGAAACTGCAAAGAAATTTTCAACTTAAACTTACAAATATTAGTTGAAAAAATTGTTAGATTTCTGAAATTTTAGTATGATTTGAACATCAGTTGGAGAAAAATTTAAATTTCATACTTTTAAATTTTTATCGGTTACACATACAAAAAATATTGTACTAACTATGGCACAACCTTATGGTTTGCTGCAATTATGGATTTATGTGTCAGTTTTGGAGATCGATATGTCAAGTTTACCTTTAAGATACAAACGTCTTCTTTGATATTTTAATTCGTTTTGATACGTTTTAGTGTCTTACTTTATTTAGTATTTAGTGTAACAGGACCGAGTGTATTATGCCTTTAATGCGCTATTTGTGCTTTTATATCTATTTATATCTACTGATAGTGCAACTACTCGTATATGTTAACCGAGAATTAGGAATTGGGATATGATAACCCGTAGAAAAATAGTATACTATAATTACTATAACTTTATCCACGACTACTAAATATTTTTGTTGAAGCTTTTGTGTTGGAAAATTTTCTTACATTAAGTATGTTAAGAAACAGATATACGACACACACATTCGAAGTTGGTAATGGCTCTGTGTCGATGCTGGTTGCCAACCGCGAGTCCCAGATTCGAATCTGGTCAAGGAAAATTATTTTTTTTATTTTTTTTATATGTACAGAACTGAATTGAAAATATTTAGTGGTTTACACGATAAAATTTTAAAATCCAATAATTGTAGCAAAACAATATAATATTATAGCTAAATCAAGGAAGCTTCTGACAGCAGTGATTAATGAGAGTGATTAATGACTCATTAATCACTAGTGATTAATGGGTATTATTAAGATCGATCAAACAGACGTATAAGGGGTACATTATACAATAGTCGTGGATAAAATTATTAATTTTTTCTAGATGGCAAATTGAATTGATTGAGTCATAAAGTTCAGCTGAAATGCATTATTTTGAAAAGTTGAAGATTGTTGGTCACGTGTTTTCTTATATGTTGATATGTGAGCGAGTGGTGGCAGGTCGGTGTTGTTGTGCAGGTGAATCACGCGGGTCGCGTCCGCAAATCCTCCTGCCACCACTGTTCTTGGCGACGCTGCCGATGCTGTGGCTGGCGTGATGCCCTCCCGAACAGCATGCTTCTCTCACGCTCACGTGAGTCTCTCTTACTCTACTTTACGCTGGCTCATGTCACCCCATTTCGTGCATGCGTTCACCCCATTGTCGTAGTCCCTGTAGTGCAGCCCCAGACACGTTGGTCGATGTGCGCAGGCATGGTGGAGGCGCCCCAGGAGGACCACACTCTGGTGTACGTGTGCGCCATCGCCGCCATCCTGTTCGTGCTGGTGACGCTGTGCGTGCTGTGCCACCGGAAGCGGCGTCGGCGTCGGCGCGGCATCCACCGCCCCCTGCAGCTGCCCGTCCCGTCGGGCTCGTCCAGACGCCCCCCGCAGCACGTGTGCGAGGAGCTCGGCGAGCGCTACGCCAGCGTGGACAGTGTCTGATGGTGGCTTCAACTCCCGCGGGACCCGCACTCTTTCCTCATACGGTTACTGCCGCCGCCAGCAATACGCTCACTTTACAGGGTCACTCGGACGCCGAGTCTACGTTTTATCTAGTTATCTAACTGAAGGACTAACGAATGTTGGCCAAAAGTTGTTTGTTACTACATTCATGTTGTTCGGACGCGGCCTCGGCGAACTAGGGGTCGATACAATACACACGTTTTTGTATTTGATAAAGAGCTGCCCTTCGATGACATCGTCACGGCTGATAAACTAACAACTGATGATTTTACTGCAGTACTGGCAAGAGTCAAGAGTCATAAAGGTGAACAAGTACATATCTCTCATAAAATTATTACAATATTTCACCAAACATTAATTAACTTGTATAACATCCGAAATTAAACATTTACCTAAAAGAAAATTATTATTAATCAGCCTAGTGTCCAACACGCTTTATTATAAAATTCAAGATTGTTTCATTTTAAAAAGTATGAAGTTATGAAATAATAAAAATAATACAGTCAAAGATTAGCTTCTGGCAATAAATTTTTATGGAGACTCTTTGTTAATTATAATTTTTTTACAAACTAAGAAAAAACTTTGGTGGTCTAGCCGTCAGTAAACAAGCAAATTGAAAATTAAATCAGTTAAGAACAAATTTTTTTGTCATGAAAACAAGAATTTTCTAACGTATTATTAAATGTCTAAAATGAATTAAAGAAAAAAAGAATTAAACAAAAAAGTTTAATGTTTTTAAAAATATTTAAAGGTAAAGCGAATCCTCTGCAAAACTCTGAATTTTTGTAGATTTATGGACAAAAATAATTGTTAGTACTACTTTATTGTTTTTTTGAGAACTAGTTATAATCAATATCTGATCTTAAAGTAAAAATTTAAACTAATTTTATTAAATTGTTAAACAAATAAAACAAATGGTTAGAGACAATTATAAAGCACCATGTTTAAGCAACCCATGTTAAGCTCTAGTGCAATCGTGTTTAAATTTGTTATTTTATTACGGCAATAATCATGGGTTAAGGAAAACGCAACAACAATTATTTTTGTTGCATTTTGTTGTGAAAGAATTGACTTTAAATTTCGTCCTTTTTTTAGGTAAAATTATTTACAAGAAACGTAAAGATCGTAAAATGTTTAATTAAATTTTATTATCATAAAATATGTATTAACATTTTTTTACCTAAATCTGTTTAAAGAAAAAGTACTTTATGATGAATAAAACTAATTTGCATTTTTGAATAGCATAAAGAAAGTATTTACATTAGGATGGTTTGAATAAATGTTAGTATACATATCTAGTTACTCTAGATTACGTTTAGTTAAGTCATTACTATATGGTTTTTTTTTTTTTAACTATTATCTAGACTTATACAGTGAACTTCATTAATTTGTTAGAAATTATTTTTTAATATTTTTGTCAGTACTGCCTAATTAAATTTGTTTCACTTATTGAAATTAAAAATGTAACATATTCCATCCAGCCCAATCTTAGACTTAAATTTTAAAACTTATTTTAGAGTAATAAACATTATCAACATCAAAACGTGATTTTTTTTATTTGTAAACAGCTGTACATATGTTTACATCGCTAAAATAAAGCAAGTAACTTAATGACAAAAATAATTCTCATATGTAGGTACTCGTATATCTATAAAATTACTATTAATATACCAAATAAGTATTTAAAATAAGATAATAAGAAAATGTGGCTGTGAATTTTTTTACTACATAACTTGCATCTAGTTAACTCGTTAACTAGAACGTAACTTTTAATCCAAAACATCAAAATAGTGTTAATTTTTATGATACAATAGTTTATTGAAATAAAATTAATTGCCGCAAGTTTTCTAAATTTAAAACACTTAAAGTATTTTTTTCTTAAAAGACATAAAAACTACAACTTGATCTTAGTTTGTCGATTTAATCACTAAAAATAAATACGAAATATTAGAACTGCTAATACAGATTTAAATAATAACATTCACTTACAGATGTTTACAGCTGTTTCAAATAAAAATGCTTTTCAGTGGATAAATATACAAGATGGTTTGTTCAATGTGTTTTGTCAAAATGCGAATAAGACAATAACAATTTTTTTTTTGACGATGCCATTGCAGGGCCGGCTTCAGTTGTTGGTTGGACAATCACTAAGCTCAGTATTGCTGACGGCTGGCCGGCAAACCGAACGGCCTCGGCAACCTGTGGAGTCAATAAACTGTGAAGAAAAAAAAAACAACACTCACTACACAAACCCACCCCGAAGATATTTTTTAACAATGTCGATAATCCAATATTTAAACAATAATAGTAATTAAAGAAAATCACGTGGTTTAATAAAGTATAAAAAAGTATATAAATGTTAGTGCGATGTATACGCAAGACGTAGTTAAAATGAGTTAATGTTCGTGAACTACGTGTTGGTGACGAAGGAATGCATCAGTTTGGAAACAAGCTAAACCTATAGAGACCTCATTTAATCGAAACAAAACGCAAAATGATCATCTATTTTGTACGTCGATAGGTTTTACGTTGATCACAAGTTCGATATTTATATAATATACATTTGCAATAATAGATAGTTTTGCACTAATTCGCACAAACAGAGCTATTGAACTATCGACGTTCAAATTGTTATAAACAAAAAATATAATGAAAACAGGTGCTCTAGATTTTATTTTTACAACGAATATCCATCTTCCTGGCGCGTAGATCTACAAGATGGCGACGTAGGATTCAGTGCGTGTGTCTGCGACAACTACTGCCGTGTTAGATCATTATTTGCTTTACGACACTCGGGGACTTACCCGGGCCTATAATTGTTCACATGTTGTTATTTATAATCCAGAGACTGAGGGTTAGTGTCACGCAAGACCGTGTGCCAGACACTCGTGCAATTAGTTATTATTATAATCTAATACATATTACTGACGAATTGTACGCACTTTATTTCATGATGTCTTTCGAAAACAATACTTTGATGTAGCTATATTGTATTAATATGTATTCAGAATATGCTCAGTTAAATTGGGTCTGACTTATTTATTAGACGTTCCTCTATTCGATTTATTAGTACTATCGAACCGACCCATCTACCGGTTAAAAATTTGCAACCATCTACCGGTACCCAACGACTGTCTCAAAATTTAAGGCCGATAAATCTACTTGTTTTGCGAGGCGGTAGATGGCGTGCGTTAACTCGATTTGTTTTGTAAAGTATGTAATTCTATTGGCGTTATTTGTAAGTTATTTCTATTATTGGGCTTCCTACAGACTTGTTCAAAAGTTCAAGTCTCGTTCGTATCCAGTCTACCATTAGTGCAAGCTGCTGCACAAAGACCGTCATCTGCAACACTACAACGATTGGAAGTCATTGGTAATTTAACTGAGTATACACTACTTGAGAAACATTTTGGTGTACCCTTTCGTGTCCGTGATTTGTTAAAATAACTGTATAATCACACCACACACCAATCATAGCTTGTAAGGTCTCAAAGAAGTCGAACTATTTTTTTAGGTACCAAAATGTTTCTAACTATTGAGTGTAAAAAAGTATAACATTTTCATTGTGTTTGATTGGCATTGCAGAAAACGTTGTACTAAAAACTAGTTAAACATAGTCGTCTGGGCTGACGTAAAACATGATTGTAAAAAATATATGTAAAATAAATAAAATCGCCGGAAACAACACAGTGATTGTTAATCTAAACTATTGTTGTGTTTACGTTTCTCTAATAAACATTTTGTTTGTCCAATTCAAGTTTTTTTTTTAATTTTGTTGTCGACTCTATACAATGTAAAGTAAAAGCAGAACACCAAGTAGAAGTACTGATGATTTGCTCCAAACACTGTAATTGTCTTCCCAAACGGTCATTGTGTTTTTTCGCAAATAAATAATCTGTATTTTAGGATAGCTTAACGAATTATCCTAATACTGCAACGTTGTCCGTTTGCCTTTTGTTTTTCAAACATCCTGGTAAGCTGTGTCCTTTTTAAGAGTCTTGCGTAAAACTTGTTTCTCCCTAGAGGGCGCTCATTGTCAGTGACAGGTCACAGCTTACTGGGACCGTCCTTCTGTAAAGAAAGTAGTGGGTTTGGTTGGTTGCAGTAGCGTATGCACTCAGTCTAAGTAGGCCTCGGCCAACACATTGTTACTTAGGATAAATCATTATTTTTAAATATTATCCACTCGCGATAGATATTAAATATTGTATGTATGTATTCATACATATGCAGTTGCCAAGTGACGGTGTTAGGTAATTTAGTCACTGTCATTTACATATAATCACTCACATCAGCCAACTGTCAAACAACAAGTCTCTATTTGCCTTAATTGATGTAGGGAGGGGGAAAATTACACTCTCCCTACTTTTGACATTCTGTTTCATAGGATTGGGAGAGCTATTCTTTGGCAGTTGACCCAACTGAGCACTGCGCGGCTTCCATACTACCCACACCTGCAACTGCGTACGCGCACTTTGTTATACCGAGTTGTAGAGACTCTAGGACAACCGTCAAAGACACAAATCGGCTTCAATCAGTTGAAACGTTCCGAAAATTTTTCATGTAACATCCAAACCGAGGCCGAATCGTGTCTCTGGTGGACAACAAACACTGCTTAACTAATAGTTTTCGGATCAGGAGAGTGATTGTTGCTTTTTGTTTATTTTTTGAAAACCTCCGATCCGAAAATTGTTTCTTATTCAGGAACGACAAATACACAGTGATTGTATTTCGAATTCTCATCTCCATCAATATGTTATTTGTTAAATTAAAAAAGCTGTTAAGTACTGTTAAGTATAAGGATAAGAGGAGGTCGCATTTTCTGTAACATAATGTATCAAAATGCTCACAGCGACTAGGCTCGACTAAATAAAGAGTATTCCACTGTAAACCTACTCCTTTTTTCACACAGGGCATTATAGACTTTAATTAAAATATAGTCTTTTGCTCGAAATAGACCAGTTTCAAGCAAGGGACTTGGCTCAACACTTGTTTTATAAGGAAATGAGTTTTACGCAATATCTCGTTGATCTAATTAAAAACAGAAAATGTTACTCAGTGTTTCATCTACCTTCACAAACATTACACTCCTTACAAAAACAAAATCTACACGTTAATTGATTAAATTTTATTCATTAATATAACTACAAAAAAACACTTAACAAATACTCTGAAATTACAGAAACAACATCAAAATTAATAATACAAAAATTAAAGATCGAGACGAGCAATATGGCCGTCACCTCCAGCAGCATAGATTTGGTCTTTATCACCGTAAACCATTGTGTTGACAATAAAATCAATATTGCAGGAACCATCAGCTTTAAGAGAATCATTCGCGACTTTCCACTGCTTTACTACTTTATCCCAACCTGCTGTAAATAACCATAAGTTACCATCCCAATTTACTGCAGTTGCACCATTGATAATCATATCGTGGGCTTTCTGTAAACACATTTTATGGAATTTGGCAGCTTTTTGTGCCATAAACTTACAGCAACTTTTGCAATTTCTCTAAAGTGTTGTTGCTCGTCAATCTGATTTACAATAATGTCTTTTCCATCTCGACTCATAAAAATGGCTTTGTTGTCAACTAATGCTAATGGACCTCGTCCCATAATTGTGGCCTTTATTCCAAATTGCGGTTTTTCTCCTAAAATTACACTTTGGCAATTTATTTTACAATTAAATGTGAGATAAACCTTGTAAATTCAGATCAGTGACAATCACATCGTTGTCTTTCGATGCAAACATGAGATTATCTTTGATGGCCAAGTCTTTAACCGGAATTGCCACATTGATTGATCCATAGAACTTCTCGCTGTTCTTGTACATTCTTACCTAAAAATACTCTACTAAGCTACTTTTAGCAAATGGCTAAATTCAGTACATTGCCTTGGTCGTCGCCAATATACAAGACTCCCTTATCGTATTTAACCTTCCAGAATTCAACTTCTTTGTCTTCAAGAAAAACCTTTTTCTCTCCGAGGGTCTCGAGTTCCCAACTTTTGACCGTACCATCATTTGAACAAGAGTAAATAGCATTATCGTCAATTGTAATTGAAAAAATAGAGCATGGATGAGCTTGCACTTCTTTGAGAAACTTCAAATCAGGAGCCCACATCTAAAAAATATTCGTTTAGATTTTTTCCAATTATTTTTTGGGTTCTTTACTTTGATCTTGCCATCGTCACCAGCAGAGTAGAGTTTCCCTTTATGGTAGATTAATTGATTGACATCAAATTCGTGTTTGTCAGCGTCGTCAGCTCGAGTGGCAACGTGCAAAGGCATTTTCTGAAGATTGTTTTGAAAATAAATTTATTATTTTTAGATGTTTATGTAATCAGAAAAAAATAAAATAGTCAAAGAAACCTGGAAATGGTTTTGGAGTACGTAAATAAAATTATTTTGGAATTATTGAAACTCAGTGATGGAGTTATTTTATAAACAATTTATAAAGAGCAAATCTAAAAATATACAGTTTTAAGTAGATAACATTATTTTGAAATTTTGTCTGAAACTAACAATATTTGCAATAATAATACATATTTAATACAAAGTTATACATTAAATTAAAAAAAAACATAACATTTTTAACCTGCCTAGAAAATTCCGGAATGTATATAAATTTCCTACATATTTCTCTGTAAATTAATAAAAACGGACAGTAAGTAAATGTTAAAACTTACAATATCGTTCCGTGACCACAGACACTCTCTCAGTAGGTACTTGAGGCCTAGTTGACTTCCTTTCAAACTCTACCTTAGTTTTATACTCACTTCCAGATTAATATAGACTGCGTGCTGCGTTTTTCTATTTTTAAACATTTAATACCATTGCTAATGAAAATTCTAAGTCTGAATATCCTAACGTACTGAAATTCTAATTGTTAAAGAGTAATAGGCTTTAATGGAAATTTAATGCATTTTGGTAGTAAAATATTGTTAATTAAATAATATTTTCTCTAGAAAAAAATTCTTCTACTTATTTAAATTTTGCTTTAGACTTTTATTTACTTAGAATGTGTTTGTAAAAATATTAAAGAATAAACTACAAAACGGGTGTCCCATCTCAATCGCCAACATAGGGATTTAACATGGTACTATTTATTTTTGCTAATTCCTGCTCACCAATACAACCTACAAGTAAGCTGATGTTACTTGTCGAAAGATAAAATTATTTCGTTTCAAATGTGGTCATAACGTATTTGATTTTCTTTATTACTTAATGCTTTTTGTTATTTTTAATAAAAAACAATTAAATTTTTTATTACTTACATGACTGTTTATTTTATTATCAAAGAAATTGACAAAATACTGACAAAATCACAATCAACATTATTATTATATGTTCGAATTTGAGACCAGATACCCGGTATTCTCACAATAATTATATGTATTTTTTTAATGTAAATTAATAAAAAATAAACATTTCTTATTCTAAAAGGAATATTAATTACATATTTTTCTAAAAAATTCTAGAATAGTGTTTACTAGATCTGCTATTCTAAATTTACCAATCCTATTCTTACATATGCAACCAAATATATACGAGTAACTACTAATAAAGTAATAAAAAACCGAGTGTTCTTTATTCTTCTTAATATAATATTGACTATTCAATTCACCTCTTTTTTTTAATAAAATAGCAGATATTTACTTTCATATCCTAGTAACAGCAAATTCAAACGAATATTCCACTCGTGATAAAATATAGTAACTGGATATTCTACGAGAGGTCGCAGTGAACTTTATTTACAAGATAGCTATAAAATGAATTTTATCTAATTGCAATAAATATGATCATAAATTACCAATAGAAAATAAATTTTGTGCCAAAGTTACTCTACTTTTTTCAAAAACACATTTAAAGCATCGGCGCTTTGGTCGAAACACTCAGATTCAGACAATCAAGCATCAATTGTAGTTTTACAGACTGTTTCAGCACCATGGGGAAAATCCCAGAAATCGGTGTCAATTTGGTGTCAATGTGGTTGTAACTTGAAAACAATTTGAAAACAATATTATAATGGTTTATCTATTCGGGACTTATTAACGACTCGACTTAGCATATTTGAGTTATGTAAGTGAAATAGATGCCATGAAAGAAAGTAACAGAAAGAGTTTTTAAATTGATGTAATATCATATTTTAAAGAACGAACAAAAACGCTAATAAGTCTTGAAAGATGTACACAATTACCAAGGAAAAAGTCAAAAAATATAAAATACGCAACTAATTTCATTATTAAGTTGTTGTTTTTTTACTGTTTGTTTACTTTTAAGTAATACTAAATAAGAAAAATCACTGTAATCTCGGCGCATCCACCAAAAATATTTGCGAAGTTAAGAAATTTTAAATTTTAAACATTACAGCTGCCATAAGGAAAAAATAATATTATGCATTGTTATTTAACCACAACAACAACAACATTTGTAATTTGGTAAATTTAATAACTTTAAATTTATTTAATAACTAATGCATGTTCCAAGTAATGCAATCTAGTAATTATGTAGGTATTAAATTGTTGTAAAAAAATGACGATTCAAGACGTTAGTTAACTTCTGAAACTTTTTGTCAATAGACAAAAAGTTTCAGAAGTTAACTAACGTCTTGAATCGTCATGACAAAAATAATAATTTTTGTCATAGTTTGAGAAACTTATTAATTATTTATTTTAATTAAACTTAATGAATAAATATCTACATATTACACCAAACTACTGATAACACTCCCACATATCATTTCAGACAAAAGTATTTTCAGTTTTACCGCATCGTTAGCAAAAAGAAGAATAACTTCAACTCGCTCCGCTGCCCCTCTAGCTATCCCAGTGACACCGATGGCACCTATTTGTTATTGAGTACCAATATCGAGCAGGTGATTCTAGTTTTTGATAATTTCAAAGTTCCTACGAATTCTACGATTTGCTCCTATGGGTAGGCAACTCATCAAATTCAGTGCTACCTACACAAAATTATTTTTTCTGGAGAATACAAATACCAAAAAGACTTGTGTACAACATCTACCGAAACGGTAGGGAGAAAATCGTAAAACATTACTGCAAAATAACGGGTCTGAAGATAATTTTGCATGCGATTCGGCATAAGAAAATGAGTTTTGTTTACCTTGACACTTTACATACACACAATACACTCGTAAATTGATTAAATCTTATTCAGTAATGGAATTACAAAAAACACATATAAAATACTAAAAAATTGCAAAAACAACATTAAGGTTAATAATAAAAAAATTTAAAGATCGAGACGAGCAAGATGACCGTCACCTCCAGCAGCATAGATTTGGTCTTTATCACCATAAACCATTGTGTTGACAATAAAATCAATATTGCAGAAACCATCAGCTTTAAGAGAATCATTCGCGACCTTCCACTGCTTTATTACTTTATCCCAACCTGCTGTAAATAACCATGAGTTACCATCCCAATTAACTGCAGTAGCACCATTAACAATCATATCGTGGGCTCCCTGTAAACACATTTTTTAGAATTTAGTAGCTTTTTGTGCTAAAAACTTACAGCAATTTTTGCAAATAATTTTAAGTGTTGTTGTTCGTGAATCTTATTTACAATAATGTCTTTTCCATCCCGACTCATAAATATGACTTTGTTGTCAACCAATGCTAATGGACCTCGCCCCATGATTGTGGCCATTATTCCAAATTGCGGTTTTTCCCCTAAAATTACATGATGACAAATTATTTTACAATTAACTGTAGGTTCAACCTTGCAAATTCATGTTTGTGACAATAACATCGTTGTCTTTGGTTGTAAATATGACATTATCTTTGATGGCCAAGTCTTTAACCGGATTTGCCACATTGATCGACCCATAGAACATCCCGCTGTTTATGTACATCCTCACCTAAAAATACCTCACTAAGCTACTTTTACTAAATGTGTATGTTCAGTACATTGCCTTGGTTGTCGCCAATATACAAGATTCCTTTATCGTATTTTACTTTCCAAAATTCGACTTCTTTGTCTTCAAGAAAAACTTTTTTCTTTCTGAGAGTTTCGAGTTCCCAACTTTTGACCGTACCATCGTTTGAACAAGAGTAAATAGCATTGTCGTCAGCTGTAATTGACAAAATAGAGCAGGGATGAGCTTGCACTTCATTGAGAAACTTCAAATCAGGCGCCCACATCTAAAAAATATTAATTTAGATTTTTTTCAATTATTTTTGAATTTCTTTACTTTGATCTTGCCATCGTCACCAGCAGAGTAGAGTTTTCCTTTATGGTAGATTAATTGATTGACATCAAATTCGTGTTTATCAACGTCGTCGGCTCGAGTGGCAACGTGGAAAGGCATTTTCTGAAAATTGTTTTGAAAATAAATTAATTATTTTTAGATGTTAATTTAATCAGAAAAAAAGCAGTCAAAGGAAACTGGAAATGGTTTTGAGGTATACAGGGTGTCAATTTTGCAATCGGCAGTATCTCTAGAACTGAAAAAGTTATTGGCAATTATTCCAAACCGTTTCGGTGGTTTCTAGGGAGAATCAAAATGACATAGTAAGTGACGCACCTCCCCACCCATCCTTGAAGCCACAACCACCCCAAGCTAAAAATTTTAAATGGCACTACTCTACTTGTGAGACATCGTTGGAAAGCTCATAACAAAGGCTTTTCAAAAATGTCTACAACAGGCTGTTTGGTGAAGCCGTTTTCCAATTATTTAAAAACGAAGACTTTAATTTTGAATTTTTAAAAAAATATGTTCAAGGGTGGTTAGAGATGTCACTTACCATGCCATTTTGATTCTCCCTAGGAACCACCAAAACGATTTTAAGTGATTCTCAATAACATTTTCAGTTGTAGAGACATTGTGGTTCCAACTTTTAAAATTGACCCATTGTATAAATGAAAATATTTTGGAAGTAGGTAATGAAACTCAGTGATGGATTTATCTCATCAACAATTCACAAAGAACAAATTTAAAATTATACAGTTTTAAGTAGATAACATTATTTTGAAAATTTGTCTGAAATTAACAATATTTGTAATTTATGCCCGCTTTTGGGTACTTACAAACAAACTTATTTTCAAATTAAAATAAATGAAAACTTACAATATTGTTCAATGACCACACACGCTCCTTCAGTGCTTATGGCTTTGTTGACTTCTCTTTAAACTTTACCTTAGTTTTATAGTTACTCCAAGATTAATATAGACTGTGTGCTGCGTTTGTTCTATTTTTGAACAGTCAATACCAGTGCTAATACACTGACTAAGTGTAAATATCATAACTAACAAAAATTTTATTTGTTAAAGAGTAATTGTCCTTACAGGGTGGTTTCTTTTTTCCCGGCGAAAATTTATATATAGTTCAAACACGTGAAAATAATGTGGGTTGGCCCTATGAACAATTCTTCAAAATGCTTCTTTACCAGAGATAAATAGCGTCAAAATTTGTTTTCATTTTTTGATAATATATTCTAAACGGATAGAGTTATAGGAGCACCAAATTTACCATACACACTAGATGAGTAATGATAATGACTATTATTTTGTACCTAGTTCGGCGTAATCGTTAAATGTTACGTTTTGTTTTATTTTGTAACACAAGAAGTTTTGTTAGGCAAAAAGGTTGTGATTCCCAAAACATGTCAGCCAATTAAGCCGAAATCGGTACAAATGAAAAGACACCACTCATCTAATGCGCTTGCGAAATTTGGAACTAGTAGTTTTCTTCATTTAAGAAAACACGGGAACAAATTTTTAATTTTGTCGCCATTTATCTCTGGTAAACCATCGTTTTTAAACAATTGTGCATAGGACAAGCCCACATTATTTTCACGTGATCTAACTATTCCTGAATTTTCGCCGCTAAAAACTGAACCACCCTGTACAACTTCTATTGCATTTTACGAGTAAAAATTTCTTAATTAAATTATTTTTGTACAGGTACAACTTCATTGGAAAAAGAGGTACCTTGTGTTTATGTATTTATTAGGTATTTATAATTTACTCGTATTTAAGCAACATAAATGTTTAATAGTTATTTATGTTATACCAAAGGAATAAACAACTATCTATTTTAATCTCGAGAATGTAGGTAACAGACATTGTTGTTCGAGTGATTAACGATGTTTATTTCAGAGATTCATACAAAAACTTTCCTCTCAACAAACTAAGTTAATAATAACATAAAAAAATAATAAAGCTGTCAAATAATGTCAAATAATTTGCAAAATACCTCAATTGCAATTTTAAGAAAAATAATCGGTATTAATAAGGTTTATGTCAAAAAACACTAAAAAGATTCAATTCATTCAATTCCAGTTAATTTTAAGATTAAAAGTCGGTACTTCATTTACTTTATTTTTAAAGTGAGTAATAAAGTACCAGTCAGAAACAAGGGAATAAAGCGTTACTTCATTTTTTTTTGAGAAGAAAGTCTTTTCTTTTAAAAAAATTTAGATCTGTACAACCTATAAATAACAATGCGAATACAAAGTGTTAAAAAAAAGATTGTAAAAAATTTAAGAATGTAAAAGTATGGACCAAAATAAACAAAAACATGGGTCCGCAAAGTTTCGGAGATATCAAATGTTAAAATTAAAATTTGTACTAAAAGCTTTTCTTTTTTGTTTACACACAAATAAATGTGTCAAAAAACAAATAATTTTCGATATCTCCAAAACCGTTACTCTGAGGACCCATGTTTATTAAGACCTTTTTGTTTGTTTTGACCCATACCTTTTGAAATATTTGTTTTGGTCATACTATTACCTCCAAAAATATTTTACAATCTTTTTTTCACACCCTGTATATTATTTTTAATCTAAAATCTAAAATTGATAATATCAATATTAATTACAGAAGAAAAAAATTGTATTTGACATAAACTAAAATTTTTAAACAATCTTAATTTACAACAAGAAACAACTCTAGTCCGTAAGTAGTGAGTGTATTAATTAACTGTAGTTACAAATGCATAAATACAAATACAAATACAAATAGAAAAGCATTGTACTAAACGGTTTTTATCAATTTTTACAAAAGTCTTTTACGTATTTAGTTTTGTATTTGGACTCTTATTTATTAAGAACGTGTTTGTAGATATATTAAAAAGTAAACTAGATATACTTAGTACAATTATATGTATTTTTCTAATTTACAGTGCAAATTAATAAAAATAAGAAATATTTCTTATTCCAAAAGAGATATTAATGACGTTGTTATTAGAACTGCTATTCTAAATTTACCAATCTTATTCAACCAAATATTTACCTACTAATAAACAAACCTTGTGTTCATGAACTTTGAAAAAAATGCGAAGCTATATTTAACACTCCTGTAGCTATTTTGTGTACAATTCTTAAAACAATAACATGTTATGATGGAAAATACTGTGATGGGCCAAATTGGAGCACCTAATTTTATTGCAAAATATCGTAGAGAAGAAATTTTTCCAGAAATAAAATATCATATCAACGGTAATTAATTCACTTATCCATCCAAAGGTTACAAGTCAACCACCCTAACTAAGAGTTTCACCCCAATAAATCGTCTGGAACAAATTGATAAATAAACAAATCTACACTATCAAAAAAGTCAAATAATTATCTAGGGATTCCAAAATTATAAAAAGTCATAAACTGTCTGGGACTTTCTTTTAATTACAATTCCTAAAACTATTTAAGTATTCCAAGTAAACAGACACACTGATCATAATTATCAGGGAAAAGAGATACAAAAAGGCAACCGCGACTCTAAAGGGCAAAGGGGCCATCAGCATAAATAAGACCCAAAAATTTAATCAGAATTAATTCAGTCCTGATCTGGTCGAGTAACCGTGTAATATGTTCGAGATGTTTATACCGAAACCTCGCGCTTTCAGGCTGTTGAATGACTGATCTTTTCCTGGTACTGTTTCTCTTCTTGCATCTTGGTCTTGGGAGCTTTCTATCCTTCGCCATTTTTCGTTTTGCCTCCGCCACCCATAATAGACAATTAAAAATTGAATTGTATGCGAATACAATTAGATTTTATATCGGCCAAATGTTCTTTCTTTGAAAGAGCATGAGAAAAACGAATTTTAGTTTCGTCAAACTTAATGCATCCAAGCAAAATAAATAACAACTGTTTGTATTACGTCAGTTAAACAAATTTAATTTAGGAAGATTTTATGGCTCCCCTAATGAATCGCCTTGGTTTATTGTGTATCTTTAACAATCTATTTTTCATTTCATTAAACTGTGCTAAGTATGATTATCAAAATTTCCACGAGAAAATAAATTTTGTGTCAAAGTTCCGATCGAATTTTTTAAATACAGATTTAGATCATCGGCGCCGGCGCTTCGGTAGGAGCATTCCGATTCAGACAGTCAGTTCGAGACACACGAAAATGTTACTCAGTGAGTCAGTGTTTCATCTACCTTTACAAACAGTACACTCCTTACAAAAAAAAAAATTACACGTTAATTGATTAAATTTTATTCATTAATAATAATTCAAAAACACTCAACAAACACATAGAAATTACAAAAACATCAAAAATAACACAAAATAAATTTAAAGATCGAGACGAGCAATATGGCCGTCACTTCCAGCAGCATAGATTTGGTCTTTGTCACCATAAGCCATTGTGTTGACAATAAAATCAATATTGCAGGAACCATCAGCTTTAAGAGAATCATTCGCTATCTTCCACTTCTTTATTACTTTATCCCAACCTGCTGTAAATAACCAGGGGTTACCATCCCAATTTACTGCAATTGCACCATTGATAATCATATCGTGGGCTTTCTGTAAACACATTTTATGGAATTTGGCAGCTTTTTGTGCCAAAAACTTACAACAACTTTTGCAGTTTCTTTAAGGTGTTGTTGCTCGTCAATCTGATTTACAAGAATATCTTTTCCATCTCGACTCAGAAATATGACTTTGTTGTCAACCAATCCTAATGGACCTCGTCCCATGAGTGTGGCCTTTATTCCAAATTGAGGTTTTTCTTCTAAAATTACACTTTGGCAACTTATTTTACAATTAAATGTGAGATAAACCTTGCAAAATGAGATCAGTGACAATCACATCGTTGTCTTTCGATGCAAACATAAGATTATCTTTGATGGCTAAGTCTTTAACCGGAATTGCCACATTGATTGACCCATAAAACGTCTCGTTCTTGTACATTCTTACCTAAAAATACTCCACTAAGCTACTTTTACGCAAATGTGTATGTTCAGTACATTTCCTTGGTCGTCGCCAATATACAAGATTCCTTTATCGTATTTTACTTTCCAGAATTCTACTTCTTTATCTTCAAGAAAAACTGTTTTCTTTTTGAGGGTCTCGAGTTCCCAACTTTTGACCGTACCATCGTTTGAACAAGAGTAAATAGCATCACCGTCAGCTGTAATTGAATAAATAGAGCATGGATGAGCTTGCACTTCTTTGAGAAACTTCAAATCAGGAGCCCACATCTAAAAAATATTAGTTTATATTTTTTCCAATTATTTTTTGGTTTCTTTACTTTGATCTTGCCATCGTCACCAGCAGAGTAGAGTTTCCCTTTATGGTAGATTAATTGATTGACATCAAATTCGTGTTTGTCAACGTCGTCGGCTCGAGTTGCAACGTGGAAAGGCATTTTCTGAAAATTGTTTTGAAAATAAATTAATTTTTTTTAGATGTTAAATTAATCAGAAAAAATAAAACAGTCAAAGAAATCTGGCAATGTACGTAAATAAAATTATTTTGGAATTATTGAAACTCAGCGATGGAGTTATTTCATAAACAATTCACAAAGAATAAATCTAAAATTATACAGTTTTAAGTAGGTAACATTATTTTGAAAATTTGTCTGAAATTAACAATATTTGCAATAATAATAAATATTTAAAACAGAGTTATATGTACCTACATTAAATTTTAAAAAAATGTCAAATTTAGAAACATTTTTAACCTGTCTAGGAAATTCCAGAATGTACATAATAGATTTCCAACTTTTTTCTTTATAAATTAATAAAAAAATAACAGTAAGTAATTACTAAACCTTACAATATTGTTCACTGACCACACACACTCTTTCACTACTTGAGGCTTTGTTGACTTCACTTCAAACTTTACCTTAGTTTTATACTCACTTCAAGATTATTAATATAAACTGCGTGCTGCGTTTTTCTATTTTTGAACATTTAATACCAGTGCTAATGATAATTTTAAAGTGTGAATATTCTAACTTGATGAAATTCTATTTGTTAAAGTGTAATAGCCTTTAATGTAACTTTTAATGCATTTTGGAAATAAAAAAAAATTAATTAAAAACTAAT